TCTACCTCTAGACGACGCTCGCATCTCACTGAAGCGCGCGTCCCCCTGACCCTCGCCCTGACCCTCAACCTCACCCAAGACAACGCCCTCCATTCTACCACGCATTACGCTCACACGCAAGCTCCACTCCACCTCCACGAGTACTTCCACGTCTACTTCCACATCTACCTCCACCTCTACTTCCACATCCACCTCCACCTCAACCTCAACCTCCACGTCAACATCCACTTCGACATCCACTTCGACAAGTACGTCCACAGGTACGTCCACAAGCACTAGGACCTCAACCTCTTCCAGCTCCGGTTCAGGCTTTGGGACGTTCACGTCGACATCCACGTCCACGTCCACGTCCACCTCCACCTCTACCTCTACTTCTACTTCTACTTCTACGTCCACGTCCACCTCTACTTCCACGTCGACCTCCACTTCGACCTCTACTTCCACGTCCACATCGACGTCCACATCTACCTCCACCTCCACGTCCACGTCCACATCTACCTCCACCTCTACGTCCACATCTACCTCCACCTCTACGTCTACGTCCACGAGTACTTCCACGTCCACCTCCACGTCCACATCTACCTCCACATCTACTTCCACTTCCACCTCAACCTCAACCTCCACCTCCACCTCCACGAGTACTTCCACGTCTACTTCCACGTCTACCTCCACCTCTACTTCCACATCCACCTCCACCTCAACCTCAACCTCCACGTCCACATCCACTTCGACATCCACTTCGACAAGTACGTCCACGAGTACGTCCACAAGCACTAGCACCTCAACCTCTTCCAGCTCCGGTTCAGGCTTTGTGACGTTCACGTCGACATCCCGTCCACGTCCACGTCCACCTCCACCTCTACATCTACTTCGACGTCTACTTGTACGTCCACGTCCACCTCTACTTCCACGTCTACTTCCACTTCGACCTCTACTTCAGCGTCCACATTCACCGCCACATGCATGGCCGACTCTGCGTCGACAACCACATGCACAGCGAGAGCTACCTCCACAACAAACCCCCCCCGAACATGAACGTACACGGGTGGTGTGACGTAGCGTGCGTGTTTCTGTCTAGGGGACTTTTGTTGTCCACGTGCAAGTTCATAGCAGGGCGGATCTTCTGTACATGTGCACACCATCTCTGACCTCCCTCCTGCTCTGAACAGCGCTTGCCGATGCACTGGTGCATGTGCACTCGCATCAGGTCGCACATGGAGACATATATGCACATAAAATACTCTACCACCCCAAAACAGGTGGAGTCATGTGCTGTTGTGCGTGTGTTTGCAACTTCTGGAGGAGCGGAAGGGGAGGAGAATTGAGGCCATACTATGAATGCACAACTTCGCTCACTCTCCCCTCCACCGCCATTGTGATTGCCATC